CTCTCCCTCTCCCTCTCCCTCTCTCTCTCCCTCTCTCTCTCTCTCTCTCTCTCTCTCTCTCTCTCTTTCTCAAGCCTCAAGGCTGGGAAACGTCAGAGCCAATCCTGGACTGCACCTGTGATGTTTCTCCCTGAGCCTCTCTGGGGTGGTCAAGATAATAAAAAGCCCAGTGTATTTATAGTCCTGACCTAACGGGTTAGTTCCAGGCGTCAGTGGCCTCAGATGGGGAATGCCGTCCCCTAGCCCACCACTGCCCACTGCCTCCACTTACAATGCACTTTAGTCCCTGGCATGCCTGCCTTCCTGCCACCCTCATCTCCTTTCCTCTCAGGGTAAGGGCAGTGCCTGCTGTCCCTGCTGGCCACTCTCACACCCCCACCCAGAGGGCCAGTCTGTTGTGCCCAGTGTCCAGTGTGGTTGGCTAGGACTGGACTGGAGAAGGTGCTAGAACTAGAAGACTGAAGCCCAGAGGAGACAGTGCTCACCTCTTAGCAGCTGCTGTCAGCAGCCACTGTGGCTCTCCGTCACCCTCAGTGGGGCCCACCCTCCTCAAGAGAAACATGGGGCAGAGGGGTGGGAGTCCTCCGAATGGGCCTTCCTCTTCTGCTTGCTGCTTTTCTAAAAATCTGAATTCTGCTCTAGGAGTTTTTAAAAGAAAAATGGAAGATCCTTCCCTTTCCTGTATCTTTACTCTGGGTTTTTGCCTCTTAACAGATTGCACTTTTTGTTTTGGATTTATTTAGATACATGGTAACTGGCTTGGCCCTTGGGTAAAAGAACCTCCCAGTGCCTCCTTCCCTCTCCCCATCCATTAACCTGCTCTCTGGGGATCACAAGCCAGGCTCATCTAACTGGAGGATGAGGCCATGTTCCCATCCTCTAGTCACTGGTTTCGAGAAAGTCTGTTCTTGGAGTTTCCCATCTACTGCTGCTGGCATCTGCGACTTCTTCCTGCGTTGTTCTCTTTCTTCTAAAGCAATTTCTCAACCGTCAGCCATGTGCTGGTGGTTTTGGGGGCATCTGGACTTTGTCCCTTACAGAGGGACCGGGGGACTTAATTGCCTTGAGGTGGAGCCTGGCTAGAAACAGGGTCAGTGGCAGGTGCCAGGCTGTTGGGCAGGAAGGAACTTGGAGCAAGTGGGAAGAAGCCAGGCAGCCTGCTTTGCTGGGCTCACCTCCAGGGACATCCTGCAGACTTGTCCAAAAGGCAGTCGGCACCAAAGGACTTCTACACAGAGGTGTTTTTTGTTTTTGTTTTTTTACTTTGTTTTTTGGTTTGGGAGATGTTTTTGCTTTTTCATACTTGTGCTGACTCAATGCAGGTTTTATATCCTGGTGACTTGCTGTCACAGTCTTACCAATTTCCAAGGGCCAGAATGGTGAAATAAATAAATAAATAGAAAATTCCGTCCCTCCATGCCTTAGTTTAACAGGTAGGCTCTGTCTGCCCAGATCTGTATTTTGTGTGACATTTCCATATTCCTGTTTCACTGGGTGAGAACTGTGAAATGGGCGGAGTCCTGACCACTTTGTGGATTCGTTTTGCTTTTATAAGGCATTTCAATGTACATTCGACAAGCACTCCATTTGCAAAGAGAACTTAAAGTAACACCGTCTTCCCTATTCGTCTTGCCCTCCTCCCTCCACCCCCAGCTTTACAGTCTGTAGAGAAGCCAGGCTACAAGACAAAGGTATACTTTTCCTGCTTTGTGAAGTGGCCGAATGGGGATAGATGGCAGTTGGCCTTTTCCCTCCCAATCCCATCAGAGCTCTTGAAACACTTGGCTTCCTACATAACAGTGTCTCCTCTGTTCCTGAGGAACATTCTAGAGTAGAAAATGGAATATGCTGCAAACATTTCTAGATCCTTGCTCCCTCCCTCCTCCTTACAGAGCAAAGAGGGGCCAGAAGGGACACATAGCACGTCTGCTGCACAGCTTAGTTCCAAGTATGCTTGCGCCTGGCAGTGGCTGGAGCCTCCTCGTGGGGCCTGCTGCGTCTTCTGCGCCTAGAGAATGATTTTCTTGGCAGATATTGGGCTGAGTAACGTGGTTGCTGGTTCCCTGGAAAGCCAAAGTGGCGGGGCCAGTCTTTCTGAGGTGTGACTTAATTTCCAGTTGAAAACGTAGTAGAGTTTTGAACAAAGCCCCTCCCCATCCCACCCCACGCCCCCCAAAAAGCTCACTGGGTGTGGTGCGGGGATAGAGCACTTAGATTGCCAAGCAGGGAGAGGAAATGGCTGTGGGCTGCATGGCTGTATGCACACTAGCCTGGCTTCATAAGGTTGTGCACCACTATGGGATACTTTGCAGAATGGTACTCATGTAATGGTTTAAAACAACACATGCATAATTGATTGTGCAGGATGTCAATCAATCTGGGTTTGCTTTATTTTATTTTATATATATATTTTTTGGTATCCTGTACATTGCAGTGGGTATGAAGATAGTATTTTAATATTTGTACAAAGTTTAATTTAATTTTAATTGTTCTATGTATATAACTGCATTTCTAAATAATAATAAAAATTCTTATGAAGGCAGTTTTGGGAGATGTAATCCTTTCCAAAAAGCTTTACAGAACTCTAGATGATTGAAAAGAATAGGTATAGGGGGCAAAGCTCTAGCTTAGTGTTAGAGTTCTTATCTGGCATGTGAGAAGCCCTAGGTTCAATCGCCAGTACCACAAAAGGAAGGAGAGAAGAAAAACAATTGGTAAGGTGTTTGTAAGCATGAGGAACTGAGTTCAGATCCCCAGTACCCACATAAAAAGCTGAGCGTAGTGATATGATCCTGTAATCCTGAAATGAGGACAGAATCAGCTTGGCCAAGCCAGTCTAGGTAATTAGTGAGCTCCAGGTTCAGTGAGAGACTGTCCCAAAAAAATAATCCGGACAGCAATAGAAGACTCTTGATGTCATCCTCTGGCCTCTGCATGTACACACACACACACACACACACACACACACACACACGCAAGAGCTCACGAAGAGATGTACTGTGAAGAGGCTTTCTGGCAACAAGGTTAAGGAACTAGACAGACTCATAAACTGCTCATTAAGAACATAGAACCAACAGTTTGGTGATTGACTGGATGAGGGGGCTTTTTGGGGGTGCACAGACCACTGCTGGCAGTGCAGAGGAGTGTGGCCCTGGGAGAAGGACCACCAGCTATCATCAGTGGAAGCCCATTGTCTCTTGATCGAGTATCTTTTCTTTCAGGGTGCCAACCACTGTACTTAAGCTGGGATTGAACATTGGAGCCTGATATGGTTGGGGCCAGCATATAGTGTCAACTGGGCCAGGAGAGTAGACAATGAAAAAGCTTGTTGTGATTGATATAAACCGGAACCTACAAGAAGGTGGGATGGGAGCCGGGCGGTGGTGGCGCACGCCTTTAATCCCAGCACTCGGGAGGCAGAGCCAGGCGGATCTCTGTGAGTTCAAGGCCAGCCTGGGCTACCAAGTGAATTCCTGGAAAGGCGCAAAGCTACACAGAGAAACCCTGTCTCGAAAAAAAAAAAAAAAAAAAAAGAAGAAGAAGAAGGGGGGATGGGGTACTCAAAGAAATCCTTCAAACTGAAATACAGCTAAGCTGTGTGAAGGAGTGTAGATGTGAGCCTGGAAAGGCCAGGTATGGGATGCAGCTCGTGTAGGCACAAAGGGAGCCATGTGCACATGCAGTGTAAAGTTATTCCTGCACTTGAGGGGACAGTGACTTGGACCACAAGGAGATTATGGAGAATGGGGAGCCTCAGCAGCCCACTAGGGATGTTTGCACACCCTACGAGCATAGAAATCACCTTGGTAGGTCTTGGCAAGAACTAAAGTTGAAGGGATTGGGAGATGAGTCTAACTGCATATAGAGAATGGATTTAGAGGTATAAGACACTGCTGAGCCGGGGAGGTGGCTGTTGGGATAGAAACTGGCAAATTTATGAAGGCACTTGTTAACACGAAGAACACAAAACCAACAGTGTTGACTACATGTGGGGGAAAATAGACATCTCAAGGGTGCACAGACCTGCTGGCAATAGAGAAGCAAGCTAGAGGGAAATAAGAACTGCAGGAAGACCAGGAGCATGTTGTAGACCTTTAATACTGCCTTTCAGAGGCAGAGGCAAGATTGGGGGTTGAAGGCCAGCCAGGGCTATGCGGTGAGACCCTGCCATTTCAAAACAAGGGCTATGTGACTCAGTGGAACAGCACTTGCTTGCCTGTCATCCTTAAAGCCCCAGAAGTTTGAGCCCTAGCACCACAAGGAAAAATTGTAGTTTAGGGAAGAAGGCAGTGAGGTCTGAATTATACGAACTGGGAGTGGTGGGGCACACAGATCTGAGT